TATTTAAAGTAATCAGGTTTCTGATTAACATAATATAATTATTTTAATCTATACTAATAAAAAGGTAATATGCTAATTATACTGGGAGACCTTCCAGGAGACCGGCCATAGAGGGCAGTTGGGGGCAAGCAGGCCGGCATGGGGGGGCGGGGGCAGTTGGGGATGAGAAGGCTGGTGGGGGGGCAGTTGGGGGTGAGGAGGCTGGCAGGCAGAGTGGTTAGGGGTGATTGGGCAGGTAGGCAGGTGAGTGGTTAGGAGCCAGCGGTCCTGGATTGTGAGAGAGATGTCTGAGGGATCCCAGATTGGAGAGGGTGCAGGCTGGGCTGAGGGACACCCCTCTCCCCATGCATGAATTTTGTGCACCGGGCCACTAGTAATAGATATAAAATCTTTTGCTTCTTAGGCAAATACAGGAAAAACCTTTCTTTTTCCCTTTACTTTTAGAAATAGGCTTATTTTTCCAATGGAAAATATACTCACATTCTTGAAAGGCATAATAGAGATAACATGACCTTGACAACTCTTAGGAGGCTGGAGAAAAGGTAGGTGTGTGTGGGGGGAGAGAGCAGGTCCTGGGGTTTGTTCCCAGGACTGCAGTAACTTTTGGGCCTTTAATGGCTTTAGTGTAAAAGTAAGATTTTTTTTTCTTTATAAGGAGAGTCCCCCCCCCCCACTCCACTTTGCTGCTGCCGCTTTTGCAGCCTATTTAAGGGAACTTCTGTAGCTCTAGCCTTTTAGGAAAATACTTGGGGAGTTTAAATAATTCTTTCCCATATTTTTCTCTTTTTGAGTGGACTAATAATATGAAATTTTGTATATAAGAAGAAATCTTTTTTTTTTTTTTTAATATATTTTATTGATTTTTTACAGAGAGGAAGGGAGAGAGATAGAGAGTTAGAAACATTGATGAGAGAGAAACATCGATCAGCTGCCTCCTGCACATCTCCCACTGGGGATGTGCCCGCAACCCAGGTACATGCCCTTGACCGGAATCGAACCTGGGACCCTTCAGTCCGCAGGCTGACGCTCTATCCATTGAGCCAAACCGGTTTCGGCTATAAGAAGAAATCTTAAAAACAGAAACAAAAAAGTCCCGACAGTAAATGAATGAGTACTCACAAAATGCGGACTGGGACAATGCCTTTGAATTTTATTTTATACTGACCCAGCACAGTAACTGGGTTCTGAGTGGCACAAAGCCTAAATACCAGTATTAGAGACCGAGGATTCCCTATATTCATTCAAATGATGAAGTGCAAACTAAGCCCCTCAAAGATAAGAAAGCAAGTAAAGAACACTCATTAATCAGTAACTAAGTTACATTATAGATACAGTAGATAAGAACTCCTACTGGCTAAGAGTTTTTAACGGCTGATGTCTTGAGAGGGAGAGCAGGGAGTGTCCCTGAGATAAAGAACTCTCAGCAGCTGCGGGGAAGTTCCTGATATCCCTGCTACAAGTAGCCGGGGAGCCCTAGCAAAGTGAAATATGCCCTATCTTTAAACAAATTAAACTAAACAACAAAGACACAAAACAACAATTCACAGAGACACTCTATGAATGACATTTATAGATACGTACACTCTACAGACAAGACTTCATAAACCAGAGTCCTTTCAATGGACTTTTTAGAAGATGTCTTTCAGTGCCCGGGACTTAGAGCTAGAATGTGGCCCAGCGGGCTCCTAGGTGGGGTGGCTAGTGAACACTCACAAACAGCCTGTTGTTCATAGATCTTATCTATTCTGCTTTCCATAAAAGATACTGACTGGCATCCAGAATTGTTTTGGCCAAAATCTGCCAGTCGCAAGGAGTCATGTGATAGTTTTCAGACAAGGCATAAGGAGTCCTTTTGTAAATGAACTGTTAGCCCCATTTTCTCTAATACTTTTCCTTATTCCTTTAAAGGTATTAAAGGAGAGCGGCTCATAAATTCTATTACCTTGTTGATCGTGTATAACTGGGCAAGTTAAAAGCTCTCCTCCTAACATGGCCTGCCTGACACAGGACCCCGTAATCGAAGATCTAGTTGATGCGCCTTCCACACCGGAGGCAGAAGATCGGGAAATGTTTCCTCCAGCGGCGGGGCTTTGGGTATTACAGGCTCTACAGGCTCTGCTTCAGGAGGAGCAGGCGGTGGTAACTCCTCCTGTTGTTCTGTAGCAGTGGTTCTCAACCTTGGCTGCACATTAGAATCACCTGGGAATCTTTTTAAAATCCTGATTTCTGGGCCTCATCCTCCAGAAATTCTGTTTCTTTGTTACTAATGTTGTGTCCACCCCCCCTCCCCCACATAACAAAGAAACAGAATTTCCAGAGGATGAGGCCCAGAAATCAGGATTTTAAAAGATTCCCAGGTGATTCTAATGTGCAGCCAAGGTTGAGAACCACTGCTCTGTAGGCTTCTGAACTTCAATATAAAGTGGGCATAGTGCAGCTCAAACAAGAGCCCACATAGTTAGTGATGATAAGGGCCCTCGTTTTCCCTGGGCCTGATTTTTCTTTAATTCCTGCCCACTTGTTCCCAGGGATTAAGGTGTAGTGTCCCAGTATCAGGGAACCAAGGATTATAAATCATAACTATTTTTAATAAGCTTTTTAGTTTTTCTTCTGTAACAGAGGCACCACCTGCTTTTAATAACTGTTTCAGCACTGTGATATATTGCTGCCGTTCCTGTGGACAACTGTTGTCCCATTATGAAACCTTAGC